GAGCAGGGAGCCCGATGCGGGACTCGATCCCGGAACTCCAGGATCATGACCTGAGCCGAAGGCAGTCGCTTAACCAACTGAGCCACCCAGGCGTCCCTACATTACACTCTTTTATACTCTTTGAATTTTTGTTGAGTAAATGTTACTTTTTAAGATAAATTACTTTTGGGGAAGAAAAAGCGTAGAGTCCAAAACAGCTAGAGCCCAGATGCAGGTGGACATTATTTACTGAGGTAAAGAACTCTAACTTCTCCCAAGACTAACAGGAAGCCATGTTAAGCTTTAACAGGGCATGACATGTTTCACTCGGTGTTTTTAACACGACACCGCGCACAAACGAAGTGGCCTGTCTGCAAAAACTAAGACAGTGGGATGCATGTGGCCTGGAAGTAGAGTCAACATAATTAATGCAAAGAGGGGAAGACCTACACGTTACTCAGAAGGAAAAGGTGACTTAGGGTTGACTTCTAATGCTTGCGTTTCTCAGAGCAGCCCCAAGACCCATCTACTTCAGAATTGCCCGAAGATCCAGCGAAAATGCAGATTTCTGGGCCCCACCTCAGGACTCCAGGATGAAAGCTTCTGAGGGTGGGGCCCTGTAACACCGTGCAACTTTAATGTGTCCACACTAAAGTTCGAGAACCAGTCTCACTCCCAGTTCTCTTCTCTCCAGATCAGTTCCGATCTCTCCGAACCGCAGGCCGGGAGAGCTCACCAGAGGCCATGCAGTGCGCCCTCCCTAGCGGGAAAAGGAGGCGAGGCGAGGGTCGGGCGTGGCCGCACTCGCGGCCGCCTCACCTGGTCGCACACGACCACGTCGAACTCCACGTCCCCGAGGAACAGCACGTAGAGCGCCAGGAAGATCATGCGCACGTAGGCGCAGACCGCGGCGCCGCGGCCGCCCCAGCCCAGGCTGCGCGGGAGCCAGTCCCCGGCGCAGCGCACCTGCAGCTCGCGGCTGTCCGCGAAGCTGTGGCCGGGATCGTAGTGCGCCGTCCAGATCTTGACGCTACATCCGCGCGCCTGCAGCGCCAATGCCGCGTCCAGCACCAGCCGCTCGGCGCCGCCCACGCCCAGGTCGGGGTGCAGGAACAGCACCGACGGGCTGGGACCAGGGTCTTCGTCTTGGCCCCGCTTCTTCGCCATGGTCAGCGGCCCGCGCCCTACCGGGCTTCCGCGCATGCTCCTTCCCGGCTCCCAGCGGGCCTCTGCGGGGCCGACCACGCCTCGCGGCGCTTGCGTCAGTTAGGCCACATCAGCGCAAATCTTCAGGCGCCCAGTGTCTGCCAGAAGAAATTTCCCGTCTGACCGCAGCTATATCCTCCCTTTGGTAGGGATCGGACTCTATGAAAGACGCTGCGATTCAAAGAAAGGAGGCGGAAGGTCTGTACTTCCCACACGGCGGCTGACCAAATCGCCTGTAACAACATTTGTACAGGCATATGGTGGGACAACTCAGGCGTCCCTGGAGCCGGCGAGGACCCTGCAGGGGCCTGGGGGCGGGGCCTGAGCCAGCCTCTCCAGCCGCCGGTCCTTTGAGGACTCCACCGTCTGCTTCTTGGCCGTCAGTTTCAGTCTGCAGCGCCTTCCAGTCTTCAGCATGGTACGGCGCTCCCAGCCTTCCCTTATCGGTTCCGCCTCTCCTCTTGGCCCTGACACTGGCCTTCCGCCTGGCCCTCCTCTTGTGGCTGTCTTGCTTTCCCCAGGCTCCACTGCAGGTGCTGGTCTGGGCCGTCAGGGCCTGGGGCCTGGGGGCGTGCCGGGGGCGCTCACTCGCCTGTCCACTTGTCTCTCTCTCTAGCCTGGTCCGACCCCCAGTGGCACTAATGTGGGCTCGTCGGGGCGCTCCCCCAGCAAAGCAGTGGCCGCGCGGGCGGCTGGATCCACGGTCCGGCAGAGGTAAGGACCCCCGCGACCCTCTGGCTGTGCGCTTGGAGAGATGGTGCCCAAGAATTCGCTGGTCCGGAGAAGGAGACCCCGGGATAAAAAGAGTCACAAGGGCAAACTGAACCTCAGGCGACGTGGCCGTAGGTCTTGTGTGTCTCGAGAGGGAGGCAACGTTTTCTTCGAATTGCGCAGTTTGGGGCACCTCTCTTGAAAAAGGAAAGTTAACAAACTGGAGTGGGATCAGAGACAACTTTGAGAAAACTGATGTCATTAAACAGGTGTGTCTGGACCTAAGCTTTGCAGTCACATTTTGATCTGCAGGTCCCCTCACACTGAGTCCATGACTTGTCCGATGCAAAACCCAGTCTCCTTTCATCCTAGCTTCTGCCCCAGTTTTATCTCCCTTACTTCCATCCGGCACTACGACTATATATTCATTTCCCCAAGGCGAAAATTTAAGGGTGGTCGTGGATTTTTCTTATGCTCTGTCTCTGTTCAGTCATTTGCAAGACCGAATGGCACACAAAAAGCTTCTCATCAGTTGTTTCCGTTTTCATGTCCACCGTTCCAGTTTACCCCAACTTCTCTCACCTAGACATTTGCATTTCCTACGTAAGGCTTCTCTCCAGGTCGTTTCCACTCCAGCCTGCCCTCCCCTCTGATTCTGTCACACATCTTCTTAGTTTCTATCTCAATTTCTTGTTGCTGAACTTTAAAAAAAGAAGAAGAAGAAGGGTGGATGCCAGTGGTCTTGGTGTTATTTCAGCCCAGCTGTCTCTCCTCCTCTCTGGTGATCCAGCAACAGTGAACTTATTACTGTTGAACTCACTAGACCACCCCTCCCCCCACTTCTGTTTATTCTGCAAGACTAAACTCAGGGGTTCTTGAGGCCTTCCCTGACTTAGAAAGCAGAAGTAGCTGTGAGTCTTCTCTTTGGCTCCCACAGCATTTTGTTCATGGGGTTATAATAGCATTCATGTTTCCATATTTATCTCCTTCATTAGATTTTGACAGAAATGGCCCAACATCTGTATCCTGATATAAGACCTGACAGAATAAATGAAGGAATCAAGCCACTCTGTAGTCTCGGGATTTTTGAAGGAACTATAGGGTATAGGAAGAGGGAGGCAGTTACACTGTGGCCAGAAAGAAATGGTAAAATAGACCCCTAATAGAAATTTAAGAGATTAAATGGGCTCTGTTAACTTCTACCTGGCTTTCCAGTGGAGGAATGGGAGATATTTTGAGTACATTTGGTATTTCCAGGTGCCCTGATTATCAAATCCTCTGCATTGCCCCATGTGCCAGTAGGTATAAGAAATCTTAAAGAGCCTAGACTGATTTCTTTGGGGCTCCTGTAATTCTAGGGGACTTTGAGACCAAGCACTGCAGTTGGGAGGCTGTGGGAATAGTGGAAAGTGCATGGGTCCTAGTCCTGGCTCAGCTGATGACTTACCATGTCCACACTGGGTTTACCATCTAGCTCAAGTTCCTTTTTATGAACAAGGGTGAAAATTTCAGGTACCTACCTCACAGCTTAAATATGTATATCCTTGTGTGTGAAGGCTCTTCTAAGTGTATGAATTGCTGTGTAAATCCCTGTGCAATTACGGTTTACTATTTGCTATCAGTTATCTCATAGAAACAGCCGTACGTATGGACTTGGGAGTTCCTGGGCCACTATGTAGCCAGTAATCAATGTGTCTGCGCTAGAGTTTGGGGTAAAGGCCACGGCAGGGGGAGGTGAGGATTAGGACCAGAGTTGGAAGGGCAGTGGGAAGAGATGATGGCAATAGGGTTTTCACTTCTAGCTTCTCCCTGCGTGCCCTGGTGGATGGCACAAGTACTATCGGGCTACTTCCAGGTGCCTGGGCTGCTCATCGCACAGACCTGGAGCCCCTGTGAGGGACATGGCATCCTACCTCTGCCCAAGATCTATGGCCAGTATATCAAAATCGTGAAAACAGATCACAAAATAATTTTTTATAAAACGTATACTCCATTTTAGGACCTGGATTACAACGAAAGCTTAATTGTTTTTGTCTCTTTTGTAGTATATACAGAAACTGAAAAACATTTTGAAGTAGTCATTTTAAAATCAGTTGTATGGATTCAGGGCTTTTTAAGCAAGGGTTTGTTACTTGACTTCACAAAAATACATGTGAAGGGAAACTGAAATTCCTTGTTCAAATGAGACGCCCATATGTGTGGGCAAGTGGCTGGGCTCCAGAGTCAACTGGGTTCACTGCCGAGCTTGGCTGCCTGCTGGCTCTGTGGTCCTAGGCACTTTACTTAACCTTTTATGAGCCCATTTTCTTCATTTATACATTGGAAATGGTGACTACTTTCTGGGGTGGTTGTATTCATTAGCATATGGCAGGTACTCAGTCCTTAGTGGTTATCATGATCAGTGGAGTAAAAGCAAGAATTTGGGGGATCTGGCAAAGAAAGTATTTTCTGGGGGGGGGTGTGCGGTTTGTTTTGTTTTTATTTTTGGTTTTTTAACAGCGTAGTGGTAGCATATGTTATAATGCTATGATAAGGGGCTTCCGAGAAAAAGCTTTTTGTAATATTTCTTCCAGAAAAAACGCGAGCTGTGGAACAAGGAGCGCGGGGCGCACGACCTCAGCAGGCACGGGGGGCATGTGGCGATTCTACACGGAAGACTCCCCTGGGCTCAAGGTGTAAGTGTTGGGGAACAGACGTTGTGGAGTGTCACACAGCCGTGGGGCAGTGCGGTCGCTCCACCAGTGGCGTTTGCCCTGATGAGATGTACGGTACACGACAGCTTCATTCGTGCCAGGTGGGCTTGGTTTGGTTTGTCTGTGTATCAGCCTTTAGTTTCGAGCCTAGAATAACATCTCCATGGATTGAGGGAGAGCAAGGAAAAAATCTTCATGTAGCTGTGTCAGAATAAATGATGGGAACAGAGAGAACTGGAGGGAAAACTGCTTAATTAGATGAACTTGCTCTTCATTTGGTGTTCTTGTCCCACACTGAGAAAGAGGAGTAACCACTTGTGTTGGAGTTGGGTGATTTTTCAAAGCTCTCTTGGAGGCACTAGCTGATATTATGACAGCCTAATGGGGGTGTCTGTATTAGGCTGTGTTACCAAAAGTTCTTTGGCCCCCTTTGCCTTTGGTGGGTGGTGGGTGACTCTGGAGGGTGAACATAACCACTGTCTAAGTTCTTCGGTCAGGGAGTGCTCATTAAGTGATGGGAAATGGGCATCCAGGGTCTCCAGGCCTTGCTCGCCTTACTTTCCATGGTTTCTGGTACCGTGTGGCAGAGCTGGTCCCACAGGTCTCTTCGTGTGAGGCTCCAGAACACCCCTACTTACCCTGCTTAAACCCGGTGGCTAAGGAATTGGAATAATGACGCACTCCCGTTCGCGGAGCACCTCTGTTCACAGAGGCAGTTACATGTGGAAGGCAGCCAGCAGGGGCTGGAGCTGTGTCTTCTGACTGTTCAATCCCATGCTCTTTCCATACTACTTGTCTGGTAGAAAGAGACAAAATTAGATTTATTTGGATTAATTAAATTAACTCGTAGCTTGACTTGGATCGCAAATGTAGTTGACGAAGGCTTCCCTAGAATTCTTGAGATTTGGTTTTATCGAGTGATTTTTTACTATTCTCTTGAAGACTTGTTAAGGCAAGGATGAGCTTAGGAAATCATTCCTGGCGTTGGGGTATGTGAGTTGGCGGCATGAAAAACGTTTTGGTCTTTGTTTCAAGGTAATCTTTGTGAGTATTTCAGAGAGAAATTTTGAAGCCCCTTGCTCTTCAGGGTCTCCAGGGGCCTTACTTTATACCCTTCTCAAGAAGGGGCTCAGACCTGTTCTCCTGCGGGTGTCTGGCCTGTGCTAGCTGTCGAACAGCCAGGCTTGCTTGCTGCTCCTTACTGCTTGAGTCCTCCCAGGATAGAACCTGTTCCTTGAAGTGTCATAAACCATAGTTTATCATCAATAAGAGACAGATGTTTTTGATGAAAAGACACAGTTGGGAATTTGTATCCACAGATCCACATCTTGGAGCTTGTTGCTGGTTCTTCTTAGGAGTTGAGAATTTTTTTTTTTCAGGCTGATAATAGCATCTCCTGGAAGCTTACTATAAACCTGCATTGTGTTCGTATTAACTTATTTAGTACCTCAGCAACCCTATGGGAGAGGCACTGGGATTATCCCCATTTTACAGATGAGGAAAATGAGGCTCAGAGAAGGTAAGTGACAGGGCCTCAGTCACAGCTCCTGGGTGACAGAGTTGATTCCCAAATTCCAGCTCTCTGGGAGCTGCGCTCTCAGATTCATGCTCTGTGTCTCATGTTGCTTTGATGTCGCACCAGAGTGTAGGGGGTGTGCTTAAGTGTAACTCGGGGAAGATTCCCTTCATGTATTTTTAAATTTGTTTACTCCCGTAATTGTACAGATCTTGGAAGAACAGATGAGTGTAGCAAGGACTTTGATCTCTGTGTTGTCTGTTGGCCACTAGTGGACTCTTACTCTGCTGCCCTCGCTGTAAAGATTTCTGGGGTCTTTTCCGTTGTCCACTTCCCATTTGTATCTGGGAAGTGAAGTGACATCTTGAATTCTCCAAAACTGGTGTTGGCAGGAAGAGTCACAAAGGAGGGGCCCATAACATTTCATCAGAGTCAGCATTCACAGGTTGTGTGAGATCAAGGGGTTCTCCCTTTAAGAAGTCCATGTACTAATTCTCAACTTGAGAAGCATTTGATTTAGGGAAGGGCTGATAAGTAAAACTTATTTCCTTCCTTTAATAAACTCCTACATGGAACTAGATGGGAACTTTAAAAGAGAGAGACAAGTACCCTGCTCAGTGGGGAATCTGCTTCTCCGTCTCCTTCTGCCCCTCCTCCCCGCTTGTTCACTCTCTCTCTCTCTCAAATACATAAAAAAAATCTTAAAGACATTGGGGAGGGTATGTGCTATGGTGAGTGCTGTGAATTGTGCAAGACTGTTGAATCACAGACCTGTACCTCTGAAACAAATAATACATTATAT